CGCCCAAAAAAGACGGAAATTGAAGTTTGAAAGTTTGATTAAGAAAAATCAACGGTTCATATTCCAAGCAAAAAAAAAAAAGGGATCAACATCAGGAACCTTCATGAGCATCGTGATGAGATTTGAAGGGGACCAAGCTGAGCGGCGAGGGCTCAGGCTTGGGCGCATAAGAGTCATCGCGAGAGACACCGAAGTGAGCCCTAGACGCCCCAACCACCACCTGGGGCTGGCGAGCCTCGCCCTGCACCGTGATCATCGTGATACCTCCTTCTCACGCCCGATCACTACCATCCAACTGCGATCTTTCCCAAGCTGTCCGGGTCTGCCCCTTGGCCTTTGTGCCTTTTTTTTTTTGGTTCTTGGGTTGTGGAGTTTGCGTGCGTTGTACAATTGGAAACGGGTTTTGGTTTGATTTGTGTTGCTGTGTCGTCCTGGTGCGAAGACGAGACAACGCGACAGAAAGAGGGGTTTAAATAAAAGCAGAGAGGAGAAGTGGGGTTGAGGACAGGGAGTGATCTGGGCCGTGGGATGCGGAGCTCTGATTGAGATTCGAGAATGATGTCGTATGGGTTGAGTTGTAATTGTATGAGATTCGATTAATTTATTAGGAGTTCCACCTAAAAAGTAAAAAGAACTTGACTTATTTGGACGCGTCATCTATACAAAAGCGCGTATATTTAATTCTTTTCTCAAAAAAATCTTTTACATTCCAAGTGTACCCATTAGGATGATGACTGGAGCAGAGCCCACCTACCGTATTCAAGCCAACCGTAAGCGAAGTAGCAATCACCTAGTTGGGCTAGGCCCGTAGTAGTTCTCTTTTCTCGATTACACATAATTTTTTCTTTTAATTTTTCTATACAAATAATAATCTAAATTAATCTGATCTACGAGAAGGAATGAGATATTTTTTTTTTTTTGGTCTGAACCACGAGATGGTCCTGGATGGGCTCCAACTATGGATGGCACCTTTAAGCCTTAACCACAACCCAGACTAATCCCCGTTCACACCGGGTCGGCCCGTAAGGAGTAAAGTGCTGGCCAAAGTGGTGACTTCATACGAGAGCAGGGATCGAACCCCTGACATCTCTTAAGGAATGAGAGTGCCGAACCACTCACACCAACCACCTTGGTTAAGGAATGAGATTTTAACTTAGGGTATTTTACTGCATTTGAGTTGTAAGATATTGTACTGCGAAGAGTACCTCAGACAACTCTTCTGATCAAAACCAAGTCTACAGACAGCACAAATTAGATGAGTCATGATACACAATAACTAATTCATTTTCCTCAAATTCTGAAGTATGCTGATTAAGGAATCATTATTTTTCATGATATACAATCATATTTGAGAGAAAAAGTTTCAATTGTATTGATTATCTCATCATTTACAATGTGTCAATGAATTGTAGTTCATCTAACAGATTGCACCTTAACTAGTTAAAGATGACTTTGCCTTCATTGTCAATGAATCACAGAAAACAATTTTCTACAAAAAAGAAAAAACATGAACAGAAAACCCCCTCCTTCAAATTTAACAAGCCTTATACAACAGGAACAGCAGCCTCAATTTTTGCAAATGTTATGTTTCTAAACTTGATTGTGATATGTTTTCTGGCTCCAAGCCCAGACTGTTTCTCGGTCATGGATGATTCATTAGCTTCGTCGTGGGCAGTGCTACCATTAACATCTTCTTTCTTGCTCATCGACGATCCAACAGCTTCTATGCTGTCAGTACCACCATTAACATCTTCTTTCCCCTCTTGTTGCTTGCTCATGGACGACGATGATCCAATAGTTTCCTGGGGATCTGTAACATCTTTATGCTTAACAAGCGCGAAGCAGATACGTTCTTGGTCGACAAGATTGGGATCGGAAACTCGAAACGTCCACACCTGAAGCATATCCTTTGCCTTAAGGTTATTAGTCTTCTCTGTAAAAATCTTGGACCAGCCACTGTTTAACACATAGGAATAGCTGGTTTTAAAGACCCACCTCTTCATCCTTAATTCATACTCTGTTAAACACGGATCTATTACTTTCACTTCTAATAATCCACCACCTTTCAATTTTTCCTTGAGTTCTTTACCTAGAAACTTTTTGTTAAACAGTTGATTCTTTGGCATCGAGAGACGGTCATGGTGTGGGTTCAAATCAGTATCATGAAGTATCTTATACATCAGAAATTGTAAGTGGTGACCCTGCATGGAGTCAATCATGTTCCTCAATTCTATAGGAGGCACGTCAGGGGGTGTAAAGGGTTTTGATGGAAGAGCTGATACCTTGCTCACTGCTTTCTTGGCCTTCTCCTTATTCTGCTTCTTCTTCTTCTTAATCGTCAACTTGCTACCTTCATCTTTATCATCATAATCATCCCCATGTTTCCTTTTCTTGCTTTCGAAACCTCGCTTCTTAATTTTCTCAAGGTAATTTCTAGCAGCAGCAGCTTTTTCATCAATGTAATTATAATTAGTCTTTGTGCTAACCATCCTCCTCTTCTTGATCACTGCTTGGGCTTGGTCCTCGCCAGGCACAACGCGTTCTCTCTTGTTCGAAATCAAAACATTCGATTGTTGTGCTGCCTTGGATTTTCTTTGAAATTCATGAATGAGATCAAACACAACTCTTTCTGTCAGCAGTTTGGATACTTCTTCTGGGTCTGCTGGGTCTCTTGCCAGTGCTTTAACCTCTGCCACAATTTGGTTAAAGGACTCGTCAACCAACTTCTTCTTTCTCAAATGATCTTCCAATCTCACCATCATCGCCATCTTCAATTTCTGAAACAAAGATGGAGATGAGATGCAGTTGGAACAACAATGCTACTTGGAAAGAATTAATTTATAATCGCAACCCTTTCCTTATTGATCAAGGAAAAGCTTCATCCCAAACCCACAAGGACAAATTTGAATTTATGATCCTTCTTTCACCTGGATTTATCGCATTTACCTTTTAACATTGTGCTTTCACTGAATTACAGACCTTATTTCCTAGCGAATTTACCCTTTAGCTAGCTAATCTACAATACACGGGCTTGCCAAAAAGACAAAATCTGTTTTCCTGTTTTTCTTTTTTCAGAAGGAAAGCCAGAAAATTCTATGTCAAAAAGTTTGGTAGTTTAGATAAAAAGACGGGCAAATAGTAAATTGACAAAAATTCTGGCGCCAAAGCTTGTAAACCCACTCATTAATGAGCAACGGCTAGTAGAAAAGTCACACAATCAAATTACGGTAGAAAATCTCAACGAATCCAAAAATATATATAAATAATCGGAATCCTTATTGGATTCTTTTTTTTGGACGAAATCCTTATTGGATTTGGACATGCGGGACAATTAAAGGAGCCAGATGGATTAAACACGACATAGTTGTTCTCCTTTTTCTTCACTACTAATATAGGAAACTTGATGCCCAAGTAATTGAGAGTACTGATCCCACACCTCTATATAACACAAGGATTGTTTCTGCTTCAGACAAATTAACCCTAAATCTATCAATATATACATAATGCAAACCGAATTAATTAGGCGGATGCAGATGAAAGGCAAGGCAAAGATCAAAGGCCTTGTAAATAGGCTCAGAAGGTATACTTGTTTGACATCCAATGTCATTGATGAAGCAAACCATGCTCATCATGATCAAACTCCGTCGTCTGATCACCTTAGCGGCCATGAGCATATTAGGCAAAGCTACAATGCCAGTTTGAACGAAAAGGAACTCAATGACCCGAGGTGGGACTATTGCCATAGGTTTTGGGAGGACACTGTTGGGCTGGAACTAGATATCAAGGCATTAGTGGCAGAGCTTGCTCCAGCCGCTACTACAATTAGATCATCTAGACCACCCTCTAGAATTGTGGCAATCTGTGGCATGGCTGGTCTTGGCAAGACCACTCTTGCCAGAAAAGTTTACAATCATGGTCAAATTAGGCGGCGTTTCGATTGCTTAGCGTGGGCTTATGTCTCTGAAAATTGCCAACCAAGGGATGTTTGGGAATCTATTTTGATTGACCTAACTACAAGTAATAGTTATAGTAGTAACTATGTATCATCTGATGAGGAAAGGGTTGCTAATATTAGAGCTCTACCATATGCTGAGCTTGCCAGAAGGATTTATCAAATTCAGCAAAAGAAGAGGTGTTTGATAGTTGTTGATGACATTTGGTCCACTGAGGACTGGGATCATCTATGTCACGCCTTTCCATCTCCATCTCCTGGTGGAAATAATGTCAAGGGGTGCAGCAGCGGCAGCAGAATATTGCTCACAACTCGTAATCGAGAAGTAGCTTCTCATGCAGACCCAAAAGCTCTTATTCATGAGCCAAAGCTTTTAACTGAAGAAGAGGGTTGGCAGTTATTTCTAAAAACGGTATTTGAAGGAGACAATCCAGGTATTAACCTAACTAATTTTGCTTTTGTGTTTCTGTAGCTAACTTATTGATTTTCTTCTTAAAATTTGACATGAATTAATTAATGCAGGTTCCAGCACCAGGGCAAACACGTACGAGGAGGAGCTGGGCAGGGAACTGGTTGAAAGTTGTGTTGGGTTACCACTGGCCATCCATGTGCTTGGGACAATGTTGTCTCTTAACATGAGAATACGACGGCCTAAATGCGAACCCCAATTCCTGGAGTGGGAAACTGCAAACAGAGATGTTCTCTCCTACATCATGGAAACCAGATGCTACCATAACCCCCCCTTTCTAGAAGCCATCTATTGTCATTTGCCTTTATTATTTAATGGCTATAATAACAGCTAGATTGACCCCAGGAGTGTTTGTAGTGGTATCTGAAAAATAATTGCCAATTGGCCCTTTAATTATGTTTATCTTCTTCTTCCTGTTGAGCTCCTCTAACTCCTGCTTTGTATATTCATGTTCTGTTTCTTTATTAATTGAACATTGCAGCAGTATATATGCACTCAAAATAAAAGTGGATATGCTTTGCAGAGCATATTGACTACTTTCCACATAAAAAAGGAAAAATCACACACTATGTACAGGGGAGTTTATTAATTATATACTTGTTTAAATAATACAAGGATGAATATGTATATAAATATATAATTGGCAAACTAATTAAAGAGGAATCCTGATTAATCAAAATGAGATTCAATATCACTGGAATTGGTATCATTATCAAAGTGTGCTTCCCTCTCATTGGAGCCAATGAGCATGGAAACAACTTCTCTCATGGTTGGGCGGTCCGAGGGGGACATACTTGTGCACAGCAAAGCAATTTTCAAGACTGTGATCATGTGAGAGACAGTGGCTTCATCTTCTAAATTTAATCGACCATCGAACACTCCTGACGACAATGAATGGTGCAGAAAATAATTTCTTACCCATGTTACCAGGTCACCCCCTTGATCTATTGATTGTACAGGTGTTCTGCCAGTCAGCAACTCCAGAAGGACCACTCCATAGCTGTAGATGTCACATTTTTCTGTGACTTTCAAAGTGTATGCATACTCTGGAATTAAGAACATTTAGAACTTGGTGAATCAATGCAGATGGTAAATTTGATGAAAATAATTATTGAATAAAAGGGCTCAAAACAAAAGATAGCTTAATTAATTACCAGGGGCTATATATCCATAAGAACCTGCAACGGCTGACATAGACTTAGATTGTGGCATGTCAATCACCTTTGCCAGGCCAAAATCTCCAACATGAGCTTCAAACTTATCATCAAGAAGAATGTTGTTGGACTTTATGTCACGGTGAAAGATCATAGGTTTGCAATCATGATGCAAATAAGCGAGACCCTGAGCAGCCCCGAGAGCAATCATGAACCTGGTTATCCAATCAAGACTACAAGATGTTCCATGAAGCAATTCACCCAAGCTGCCCCTTTCCATGTACTCATAGAGCAGAAGATTGGAACCCTGGTGGTAGCAGAAACCATACAGCTTTACAATATTCCGATGCCTGATTTTTCCTAAAGTAAGAATTTCAGCATGGAAACTATTATCCACATTGTTCCCCTCCCTGTTGGATATAACCTTCTTAACAGCGATTGTATGACCAGTTGGCAAGACTGCTTTGTACACGGTTCCACAAGCTCCTCTTCCAATTTCAAAGCTTTCGTCAAAATTTTCAGTCACCATAACCAAGTCTTCGAAAGTGAACCCTGCCTTTGATGAAAAGTAGGTGTCCAGAACTGGAGAAGAGCATGGTTTTTCTTGCAAAGAAGCAACGTCTACAGGACGTCTCATGACATATATAAGGACTACAATTAAAATGAGAGAAACACCACCAATAGCTGCCGAAATAATAGCAACAATTTTACCTAAGAGGCTACTTCCAACAAATTGCTGCCGAAATAATAGCAACAATTTTACCTAAGAGGCTACTTTTCTTCACCATATCTTGAGGAAAAGAGAGTGAAGATGGTGGTGTTCCGCAGTCACCTAGAGGTCCACCACAGAGACCTTTGTTCCCAGAAAAGCTGTTAGCAGGCATGTTCTGAAAGAGTGGTAAACGAGGAATTGGCCCCGTCAAGCCATTGAATGAGAAGTTGCAGCCAAGTAGACTTTTGAGACTCTCAAAAGAACCTGGAATATCACCAGTCAAATTGTTGTTATTAAGCAGAAGGAATTCCAGTAAAATGAGGTTTCCAAGTTGAGGAGGTATCTCCCCAGAAAGGTTATTATAACTGAGATTTAATGCAATCTGCAAGCTTGAAAGGGCACCCAACTCAGCTGGGATAACGCCAGAAAATGAGTTGCCACCCATTTGTAGCTCTGTCAAACGCAAGAGGTTTCCCACCGCACCTGGTATATTCCCAGAAAGATTGTTTTCAGAAAGCTTGAGAAGCTCCAACTGAGAAAGTGTTCCTATCTCACTTGGTAAGGCATCCGAAAAGTTGTTATTACTAAGATCAAGTCGCTGAAGCATTCTGCAATTGAAAATTTCAGGTGGTACCCTTCCAGAGAGTAAATTTGATGAGACATTAAAGGTCACCAACTGTGAGAGGTTACCAATCTCTCTTGGCAACTCAAATGCAAAGTAGTTGCCTGAAAGGTGCAGCCTTTGCAAAGTTCTGCAGTTACCAATTTCTGGAGGAATGGCACCGCTGAACTTGTTCTGACCCAACTCAACCGTAGAAAGGTTAGGGAGTTTGCACATTTCAGATGGAAAAGTCCCTGTAAGGTTGTTTCCAACTAGACGAAGCTGTACCAATGACTTACAGCCTGTGATATCAGTTGGTATGTTCCCAGTGAGCCTGTTAGACTCCAAATTTAACAGGATCATAATAGAATTTTTGCAGAGATGACGAGGAATTCTTCCTGTTAGGAGGTTTTCAGATAAGTCAACCACCCAGAGTGGACTATACACTCCAAGTCCTTGAGGAATTATGCCACTCAGAAAATTGTGGAACAATTGTAGCATCATCAATTCAGTCATGTATTGGAATCCAGTAGGAATTGAACCAGTGAGAAAATTGATAGAGAGGTCGAGCCTAGTCAGGTTTGTCAAAGTTGTGAGCTCATCTGGAATAACACCTGTGAGTTGGTTCTCAAAAAGATAAAGCAGCTGCAACCCCGCTATCTTACTGAGCTCAAATGGTATGTCTCCTGACAAGAAGTTCTCAGAAAAATCAATCTCTTTTGCTAGAGAGAGATTACCAATCTCTCTTGGAATGGTCCCATTCAACATATTTCTGTAAAGATATAAGTACTCTAGAAACACAATGCTTCCAAGCTCCTTTGGTATCTCTCCCACAAGTTTGTTCTCATACAGAGCCAGAGTTCCCAAATTTGTACAGTTGCCAAGCTCCTTTGGAATAACCCCAGAAAGCTGATTATTCCAAAGAATCAAAGCCGTCAAATTCTCAAGCATTCCAATCTCTTTAGGTATTTCTCCGCTTAACTGATTTTGAGCTAGACCAAGATACTCCAAGCCCTCACATTCACCTATTTCTGTAGGTAAGCTTCCTGATATCAAGTTCTCCCCTGCCCGGAAAGTCCTCAAGCTTTTGAGATTGCCAATAGAACTCGGCAGTGGTCCACTAATATTATTAGTGTATGCAACCAAGTGGGACATGGAAGAAAGATTTCCAATCTCTTCAGGGAAGGGCCCTGATATTCTATTATTACAGACATTCAATACTTGTAAAGAAGAAAGTCTACCAAATGCTTTGGGAATTTGAGCTTCAAACTTATTGTTGTTTAAAAGTAGAACCTCCAAACTTGAACAGCTTCCAATGTCTTTAGGTATATTCCGAGACAATTCATTGAAAGAAAGGTCAAGATGATTCAGGTGAACCAATCCACCAATGCTCGGAGACAAAGAACCAGAAAGATTCATTGAACTCAAGTTAAGAGACAAAACCACCGGATTGTATCCGTTGCTGCAATTCACCCCCCTCCATCCGCAAGGCGTGAAATCATTGGAATTCCAACTACTAAGATGATCAAATCTGTCAACTAATCTACTCTTTATTTCTAGAAGGTATTGACCCTCATCATTAAGCCCCTCAGATCCATAAGCCATAAGTGCAGTAACAAGAACAATATTTATGGTAATTAACAAATCATATGATGTTTTCTCCATAACCATGAAATGGAATTGAAAACAATAAGCCTGGCTGTAGGCTTGCAGCACTCACAACATCACTAGCTGGAGCAAAGATTTCACGCTTTAGAGAGGGACCAAAACAAAGATTCAGAAAGATACAAGCATTCCATAACTTGTACAGAACTACATAGGGAGCTATTATTTTACATACCTTGAGTTGATGACCGGTAATGGAAAATAAGAAAAGCTAACCCATCAAAGAGAACCAACCAATTCTCTAGGAACCAGCAAGAAATATACTTTACTTGCCCAGAAAAAGAAAGATTACTGGGAAAAATAATTGGACATTTAGATTAGGGTCGAAAAGAGTGGTGCATTATTGATAGGTTGAGCTTGACTTCCTCTTAATTTCTTGAATAATAACTAATTAGGTGCAATGACTTGCCACCTTTGTAATGATAATCTTAAAGAACATGAAAAAAGCTTGTAATGATAATCTTAAAGAACATGAAAAAAGCCAAGTGTTCATTCATTTTGTCCCCCCACAGAATGATTTGGAAGATCCCACTTTGTGTGAATGAAAAGGATGTGAAATAGGAATGAGAGAGAGAGAGAGTGTGTGATGCAGGAATGGCCGACAAAGCATGCACGCGCTTTCTCCTCTCTTACTCCTCTTCCATAATATTTTAGTGCTTCACAAACCCAACTCAAATGTCTTCTCCATCTCTTTCTTTGTTTCTTTGTTTCAGTTTTGCATTGCTCTGCTTTTTAACTCTCACCTAAAAAACAAAACAAGCCATTTCAAAACTTCAAGGTCTGCTGGCTTGGAGTGTAGAGATGGGAACCAACTGAACCCAACCCAACCAAGTCAAACCTTTGAAGGTTTAGTAAATAATAATAATTAGTTAAATTGGCATCTGGTTTTGAGCAAGTCAAACTTGACCTCATCTCCATTATCGCATTTGCTTAAGATAAGTATGCTTTGCTTTGCTCTCTCTCTCTCTCTCTCTCTCTCTCTGTGTTTGATTAAATATCTATCATTGAGTCACCACAGCACCATTCCACTTCGGCCTTCGTACGGCTTCCCACCATAGTTTTGGGTTTTGTTTTTCTCTGGCTAACACGTAGTTTTTCCATAGTTGTTTTGGATTGCCTTGCTTTTTGGTGGATATTGAAATGAACTGATTTAAGTATTGGTTCTAAATTTCAAAAGGGTCCTAGTCTTGTACATAATTTAACAGTCAGTTTGTTTTCTTTTGCTACGTGGAGACATGACTCTGGATGAATATGTTTCGCAAGTTATACAAAGGGATGTTAAAATTAGGTTAGACATTCTTTCTTGGTATCGATCGAATGCTGAATAAGCAAATTATTTTCTATATAATAACATGAATGGACTGGACTTTAGGGTTGACTAAGATTTCGCAAAAATTCAAAATAAACAAATGAAATGAGCGTGGAGGAAGAAGAATAATAATCCAACACGATGTGAATGGCTTCCATTTTGGGTTGGCCCCATTTTGCCACGAAATAAATGCTCAGGAACAAATAAGTTCGAAAATTTCGTAGCCAAAAAAATAAAATAAAATAAAATGGTGCCCAGTGTGTGTATGAATCAAATTTCTGGGTACGTTTAACCATTTATATGTCATTGCTGACGCTTAACCTCTCACACATCATGATAGAAATTCTTTTTGAGTTTTATATTATTTTGGCATATAATATTTTCCCAACTTTTTCATTTGATTATTTGTACAGTTTGGCACCCCTATCGACCGTTTCACACGTCTACACAGCCACAGCTAATTAATGGTTGGCGTGGTAGGGTGGGGGTCCCCCTATCTAGTGGCGGTCATAATGTCACCAAAGAACTTTTGTCATAATTTTCAATTTTTGTTGTTCTGCTAACTAACTTTTAATAATCCAACTAAAACCTTAGAATATGCAACTAATTAATAATTTCTTCAAACAAAATGCTCTCTCTCTCTCTCTCTCTCTCTCTCTCTCTCTCTCTCTCTGTAATTATGCACAGAATGTTGATTCGAATCCTGATTAAGAACAGAAACCCAAAGGATGAAAGCAACATATTAAGAAGTAATTTGACCTCAAAGTTCATTCAGGCCTCTTTCTGTGGAAGTGTTTCAAATGCTGAGACGGTGTTCTCGAACTTGATCCGATGCAGAGGGGCACCACTTTGCTTGATGGCACAAGCTGTCTTGTCTTCAAGCGGGCACCGTGCCTTTAACATGGAGAACACGTGATTGTTTAGCCTCCTTGCTTTCTTCATTACTTCTAACAGGCCGTCCCATCCCTTCACCATATATACAAACGATCCATTTAATCAACAAATTACAAAACCATTTTTGCATGCCAACATACATCAGGACTTGTTCTACTTAGGAGAGTTGGAAATTGGTTCTGCAATTAGTTTCCTACAAATTTACGACACAAACAACTTCTGTACCTGGAAAAAATGAGGGCTCTTATGGGTTTGGGTAATTGATGCAATCTCCACTTCGGCAACATTGAGGACCTGGTATGAAAAATCCAAGAGCTCAAAATGCAGCTGTTGCCCGAGTAAGTATATTATGGTGCAGCCACCCCAAGCTACAGAATCACCCAGCACTTCATGACTGCTTGGTGGTACTCGAACAGAATCCTCTAGATACCACTACAATTTAAGAATTACAACATGTTAGCAGTAACACAAGATGAGCAAATTTTCACGTTCTCCCACAATTAAGATGAGCAAGCTGATCTTAGAGAAACCAAATGTGCAAGGTTATTCCTTACAATTTGAAGACCACTGTATATACGATAGAAATCCTTCGAAGTTGTGATGTCAATGAACCCTGTTTTGGGAACAGCGCTCCATTTACTACAATATTTGTCCAGAGCCGCACTAGTAAAAGCTAAGGCATATTCCAGCACACTTCCAGTATTCATGTTAGCCTTGTACAAAAGATCTGCAGTGAAAGATAGACATCTGAAACCTTCAATCCAGAACATCAATCAAACAGGAATTTTTAATAGGATTACAGGAAGCAAAGAATCTCGTCACTTCAAATTAAAGGTGAAAAGGTCTATTTTCAAGATGACACTATAACATAAGACTTGTCCTTTCCAGAGTGTGGTTGCTGTGATTTTCCTTGGAAACTAGAGATGCTTTTACTCATTCATTCTTACTTCAATGAGCTTTTTTGTACCTTGAAAGTTAACTTACAATTTGGGTATAATTTCTATCTGTTTACCTAAGAAGTTACAGAACTATAATCACTTAGAACACGCTATATATACTGTTGTGTCATCAGACTACAGCAATTCCATGCGCAATTTTCTTTTCATTCTTGTGTGTGTGAAGTGTAGTTCATTAAGCATATTTACTTCCAAGTTTCAGCATTTTCATTTTACCATCTTACAGTAGGGTTTTTTTTTTTTTTTTTTTTTTTTTTTTTTTTAATTTTCCTCTTCCATGACCCTAGAAACTGAGCTTTTGAAACCATACTAAGGACAGCTTTCTGACAAAAGCATGGAAAGGATTATGCACGATAGTACCTCAGTTTTCTGCATTTCAATTTCAATCAGAGCAAGTGAATCTAAATTTTCCAGGGAACACGAACTACGTAATTATATAGTGTAAGCAGGAAACGTTTAGGAAGGAAAAACATGCAACTGCACACCTGCAGCTTCTGCCTGTTTTGATAAGGTGTGGAAGGAAGTTGGGTTTGGGCACCCAGGGTTTGACACAATTACAAAAGTAGCTGATTTAAAGAGGTTGACGATTGGGCTTTCTCCACCATCTTGAGAATGCAATATTTGTCCATCTGCACCAGGAAGCAACCCCAACCAAGGGGCTGTTTGCATGAAGTGTGTGGTATCTGTTTCTCTCTGTCAAGCATGGGAGATAGCGATAGTAAGGATCAAGCAGCCATAAAGAATAATTTTCAATTAAAATAGTAATCAATATGATGGGGAAAAAAATCAGGATTCGCCTGCCCAATATCACATAGCAGTGGCAAAACTAATGTTATCAATACAATACATGCCTCATAACACTATGCCTTGCCGCATTAAAATATGTGAAGATCTGGAAAAGGAAGTTCCAGTATAGAAAATAAAAAAGTTTTTATTTCATAACTTATTTCATAACATAGGTTCACTTTCAAACATATATGATTGGAGAACATTTAATTGAATTCCTTTTTAGGATAGACACCTCAAATTTCTTTCCTCTTTTGTTTCCTTATTTAAACCCTTGTCAACAATGTAGTTTTTTCTTTCCCCAAAATAATAAATTGTTATAAGTACCTAGGTCTATAATCACCCCAGAAGCATTCCTAAATATATTAAAAATGATGAAATTAGAACACTAACCAGCACGATATCAAGAAGCCCCAGCCAATACAATACACTTCCAATCTCCTTTATCCCCCGAAGAACTTCTGCTTTGAGCTGTGATTTAGTTCCCCAATTAAGTTGTTCTTTAACAAGCCTCATACAACCTGTGCATAGAGAAATATAAACACAAATCAGGGTATACCACAAACACCCCCGCAAATTACTTGTGTTGATGGGTTTTTCCATGCTTGCTGATGTACTACTCAGCCTAATGAATTTTACATTTCAAAACTACATAAAAGAGAAATAAGACTCTGTTCCATAAGAAACAATATGCACACATGTAAATGTTAAAAAAGCTCCATGTACCTGTCACGCCTCCATCAAAGGGAAGCAATCCAATAGACTTTGGCAATGCTTCCTGCAGTCCTGTTATCATTGGTTCCAGTGTAGCTATCTGAAACAAGCACACATGAAGCATAAGGGTGAACCTTAATAGCACTTTAGTGTTATCAACATTTGACCTGTATTAGACAAAGAAAACTTTCCAAAACAATGAAGATAATTAAACAGACGAAACAAGTGCAACTTCAAATGGCCATTTATTAATTTACATTTGCAATTTGTCTCTGAACAACTGATTTCTGCATAACAGACGTACCTTGTTTGATATATGATCTAGAAGTGCTCGAATTAGCCAGGGCAATGATCTAGAGCCTAGAAGCCTAACAATTGAAAAAATGTGGGGCATCCCAAAAAATCCACTGTGCAACCGTGCAAAACTCTGATGAGCTGCATTTAAGTCCTATCATGACAACAGTCAATATTCAATAGAGTTAAAAAACATCATAACAAAATATATATAAATTGAGGGACACCCTTTAGGGTCCCCTACAAATTTTCTTTCAACGATCCAAACCATCTAATTTATTAAGTCTACATTCATAGATCATCCTTGCAAAAAATTAGACAAATCAGAAACCGTTTCGATATCCAATTGTGTCCTACAAAATCAATGAACACGGTGCTTCAAGAAAGTACTAAAATTTCAATAATTCAATTGAGTGGTCA